GGTCGCCTCGATGTTGACGATAGTGCATCGAGAACAGTCCAAGCGCTAGTTGTAGTCTTTCGGCGTAAGAAAGGTTTCCGCAGTCCATGGACCAGTTTGGTTCCCAACTCTCTTCAATCTCCTCTGGTCATCCTGTCCCTTGGGGGGGGGGGAAACTAAGCATGGTGGCAAGCTGGATGCAGTGTTCCAAGTGTGGCTCCTGGTCAAACGCTGAGAATAACCTAACAACAGACATTGCGACCTGTGCATGGTGTTCCGAATGCCCTGCGGTTCAATCCACAAACATTCTGAAACCCCCTTTGCACGTGAGTTTCCTCCTACGTTCTCGTCGGATTTTTAAGTTCTGAAAGACAAACGTGACCCAATGGCCTCTACTTTACCTGTAGGATTACACTGGTTGGAGCTCATTACCGCCATGCAGATAACGCGTTTGGGGGCATATTTGGCCCTACTCCTAAGATGGAACACTGCATTGTTTTATGGGCGACGGCTCACAGCGCAGCCTGTCCCAGAGTTTATTCGAGTGCCCGTTGCAGATGTGTGTGTCCTTCGCGAGGTCAGGATGCACTCTGTCGTCCAAAACTTTAGGTCATCTGCAAACATGAGAGATGGTCCCGTAGCCAGAGTTTCGGGCAGTACAGTGACCCCTTGGACAGACAAGGGAAAAGAATTTACGGGACAAGCACCGAACACCGTTGAGGGACCGCCACTGAAGGACTGGACTGTCGGAACAGAGTCACCCGACGCGAGACCCAGCATCGTACACCACCAGCTCTCTCCTTCCAGAAACGTGGCGTGATCCATTTTCGTGCACCCCAGGTTATTCCATAGGATCCGAAGCTTTCAAGGAGAGGCGAGCATTGTGATACAGTGTCGATACCGCCTTGGAGAAGTCAATAAACACGTCATCTACTGCTGAACCCCCGATCCTAATGCATCCCGAGCCCCCCAACTTTCGCGTGCAACTATGCATTATTAGTCATTCTGGATTGTCCCTTGCGGAAAGCCCGGGTCTGTCAGGGGAGCCCTGAGCCAGACTCATACTCCCGCCAGAGTGGGTCTTCCAAGCACCTCTCTGACCAAAAATGATTTCTCCATATATCCTTGAACCAGTATCGGCTCTGTTGTCAAACGTTTCTGGTCTTATTAAGTGGCAGGATGGATGCTTTGTCAGCCCCCTTGTTTTATAATACGGGCAAACGATTAGCTTAGCCGTCCAGGTCTGATGGTAAGCGTCTAGCTAGCTTGCGCTAATGCGACTTTTGAATAATCAAACTGATTGTGGCACTGGGCCACAGGAGCCCTCGC